CTCCTCGGCAGAAAGACGAGGCTTTCTACTCCCATAAAGAGTCACGATCTCGGAAACCCACAGGGACAGTTCTACCCTGTCCTATAGGGTCGCTGTGAGTCATCTTCGGCTCAATGGCAGCGAGTTTGGTTTAGTATCTTACTCCAGGACTTAGAGGGGTATCTGGGTGCACCTGAAGGCAGTGTGGTTCCACTCACAGTGCCTGGGGGAGTGTGTGTGGAGTGAATGAGCTGAGAAGAGACACCTGGCAGACCCTCCTCTGCCAGCAGACCATTGGCAGGGGTGTCAGAGGCTGGCTAGCTGCAGCTGGGTAACAAGCAACCCATCGCAGAAGCCGTTGTGTTTGCTGCCAAGACGCTGTGGCCTGGCTTGGCTTGGGCCGACAGTTCTTCCCTGGCTCTACTTCGGAGCCACCCACGCAGGAGCAGCAAGGGCTGAGATGTTCCTGAGGGCCATGCTCATGTGTCCATCCAGGGACCCCGGGGTGTCCGGGCCTCCTCGCCGTGCGGCTTCTGTGGCTACACGGAGCCCAGCAGGGCCTGAGTGCGCGTGCCAGGCTGTGCTCCCAGCAGTCTCCTCGTGTCTTGCAGGCCCTGGATGCCCTGCGGGAGGCTGGGGCCCACTCCCAGCCCCAAGAGATGGCGCTGCTCCTGGCCAGCTTCCGAGATCAGTGCCAGCAACATAAGTCCTGCCGCTTCCTGGCTGCCCAGAAGGGGGCCTACCCCGTGCTGCTTGCTGCCTGGCAACTGGCCTCAGCCAGCAAGCCTGCCCTCCTGCTCCAAGTGCTGGACACCCTGGCAGCACTGATGGATGGCCAGCCTGACCTTCTGGATGCCCAGGGCTTGCAGCTGCTAGTGGCCACGCTGACCCGGGGCGCTGGCACGGCCGACCTCACCTGTGCTGCTCTCCGCCTGGTCCGCCATGCCTGCCTGAAACACGAGCAGAACCGGCAGGCCCTGGTCAAGGCCGGCGTGCTGCCTCTGCTGACCGGCGCCATCACGCAGCACGGCCGCTGCGCCGACGTCGTCCGGGAGGCCTGTGGGGCACTCCGTGTCATGACCTTCGACGATGACATCCGTGTGCCCTTTGGCCAGGCCCACGCCCATGCCAGGATGATTGTGCAGGAGAATGGAGGCCTCAAGGTGCTGGTCCAGGCTGCCCAAGGTATGGGGAGTGTTAAGATTGCCCCAGGGATCCGTCCTCCTCTAAGGCTGGGCTCTGCTGGGCACTTTACCCTGCCCAGTGGGGGTGTTGCATGGACAGGTCCAGGGGCCTGGCCTCCTCTGAGACTTGGGGCTCAGCGGAGGGGGTTCGTATGCTGGTGGAGGCTTCCGAAGGTAGGGGATGTGGGGGGTGGGTGGCCCCAGGAAGTTTGGTGCTTAGCTGGGTGGTACACATACTGGCTGTCTAGTAGGGCTTGGGCCAGGCCTGTGAGCGATCCCTGGGGCCACCTGGGCTGAGGGGC